TAGACACTTGTGAAAGATATGTTCCCATTAGGACTCTCAATCTCAAGCTGAAGGGTGATTGAGTATTCTCCTTTGTACAATTGTAATGATGTGAGCGGACTGTTATACACTATTGCTGCTAGATTACTGGTTGACTGAAATATTTTGAAAGAACTCATACCTACAATTGTTCCATTTGTGGTGTAACTTTCTTGCAGTAGGGACACTGGAAAGTTATTTTCCATTATAATTTGGGCTGCGTTGTTTGTTGCAGCCTGGCATCTCTGAAGATTCCCCTGTAAGAAGGAGAAACCCTGAAGTATACTATTCTGTACAAGACCCTGCATTTTGCTTAATGTTGATAAGCTGCTCTGAGGCGACTGAGCTCTGCTTTGTATGCTGGGCATATTCGTGCACTTGCCGAGTGTGTTACTTCGTATGTTGTGCCTAGTTTCTTATTCCAGTCTTCGCAGTTAATACAATGAGGTGTAATTGTAGTACACGTGTCAACTGCGTGTCCTTTACCACAGGTAGCACACGTGGGGGATGACCTGCAAGTGTGGCTGATGTGACCTAGTTTTTGGAAGTTGTAACCCCTCTTTACTTTGAAAAATTGTCTAAACGTGCACGAGCTAAAACCAATGAAAACACGGGAGTGATCTTTTACAAGGTCAAAACTGCTGGTGTGAATATCTACAATCCAATTGTTATCACCTGGAGACTTACGTACAGGTGTCCTTGGTGTTATGTGGGACTGTGTAACTGACGGCGCCAGATTCACAAAAGCCTCACTTATATCGTCAGCTGTGGCCGAGGCTGGCACACCGTAAACTATCACTGAAGCTTTTTGAACGCTGGGAATTCTCACAGAAATTGTTGAAGAAAGCGCAGGTGTTTCTTCTATTGATTTACGAAGCACGTCTATGTGCTCCTTAGCAGTGCACCGCACCAGCAATTCCTTGGCCCGGGTAGGGCGAACTTCTTCAACCGTTATGCCTATGGCTCTCGCGCTTATCTTGGAAGTAAGCTGAACCCTAACCTGCTCAGGGGTTCGATCTGTGTTCGTTGGGCTTAATTAGCAACACGTGCTCGGATTTCTTTTTTCCAAGCGGCTTTGTATGGCGTTTTTTCTTTCGAACTTCAGTGAAAGGAAGCTCGTTTGTATCTGTCTGATAGTGTGTATCACCTGTAGTAGAAGGGAGTACCGTAACAGGTGCAGTAGGAGCAATGGTATTTGAACTATTGCGCTGCTGTTGTAATGCCTGGATATGCCCCTGCAGCTGAGCGTAATATATCTCTTGTTCAGCTATTGTGTTACCGACTGTATTTACAAAGCTGGTTACTTGCTTCCTGACGGATGCGTTGAGTTTTCTAGTCTACCAAATTTTTACACTGTCTTTATAATGTCTAATGACCAACTGCAATTGGTCACAAATAAGATTGATAGCCTCTATTCTAGAGGCGGGAGTAGAAGAATTTGTTGTGCTCCTGTCTACCGAAGGGAAGTCTTGTTTAGGGCGTATGGAGCTAATTGGGTCCGCTGAAGTGGTTGGCGTATCTGGATGCATATTTAAATCACAGTAATGCACATAGAGTAATTATAAGCGCAGTAGAAAGCACTAAAATTACAGAAATATGTGGGAACACAAAGTAAGTGAAAGCGCAGTTTATACCACTGAGGATATGGTTTTAGGTGGCAACACTTGCGTGCTTGCGAGAACTAGCGCTTATAGCAGGGAGGTGAACACTAACAAAGAGAAAAAAAAAACAAAAAAAACCGCCAGCAGCGCACTATAACATTACAAAATTGAAATGAAAAATAGCAACTTATACTTAGCAAATTACAGTTGCGGGCACACAATAAAATTGCAGTTAAAAAAATTGTTAAGCAAATTAAAACACAGTTAATCACGATAAAATTCAGTGCCAACTGATATTAAGCATTCATTAACAATAATGAAGTAATAATTATATTACTGGTAATTATAATAAACAAAATAAAATTATATATGCTAATCCACACTTAATAAGTTCAATAAATTCAGAATAGTTAACAAGTTCAGAAGTCATCAGAATTTTTATAGTAGCTACTATTACAAAAATATTTATCACACAACCCTGAAGAAAAGTTCAGAGCAATATAAAGTTCTTTCCTAGAGTCTGAATTTAGAATAAATTAATTCAAGTAGTGAACTGAACTAGTGAATATTTAGAGGTAATTAAATGCAGTATACCTTTTGCAGTCTTCTCTTGGTTGTGTATAATCGAAACAGCGGGAGTACTATAATATGTAGGAGTATTATAGCAAAACTAGGGTAGTTATCACTTATTAAGGAAACGCCATTATCCTTTCAACTGTATTTAACGGGGACTTGGCCGCTAATTTTCTCTGTTTTTCATGTGTGTTTAAAAAGTAATCCAATGACAGCTGTTATTGTCACTGAAGCACTAATTTGTAATCGCGGCACCAACACAACACTTCACAGATGAAATAGGGCGAGCACTAATTAAATAGTGTAATAATGGGTGTAGACTTCCGCATATCAAAACCCAGAGTCCTGTTAAGAGGGAAGAACCGGCACAATTCCGTAGACTCGGCACAGGAACAACACTTCACTGTAGAACCAGCGTAATCACTTGTCTTAATTAATTGGCATCTGGACGGATGTTTCCTTTCGCTCGTCAACCTATGGAGAAGTGATCTTTGACTAATCAGTTTTCACCAATTTTAGAACTGGGCACTAAGCTGACATCGTGCTCTACAATTGCGTTTAAATGCATCTAACAAGCATCCGCTCTTCACCTAATGTCTGAAAATTATTATAAACCTTATTTAATCGTTGCAAGCTTAGCGTTATTTGTTTCAAACATGAGTATTTATTATTATTCGGCAACATATGTCAAAAATAAGATATATTACTTATACTTATCAAAGATGTTTATTAGTCAAGGCATAAATTGTTGTAAGTATAATTAATATGACCCTTGACCAATAAACATCTCTGATTAATTATATTTGTTTTCAACTAATGATTTTATGTTGCTACATGATTCCAGGTAAATTAGCTTCATAATTTAAATCAGTTAGAATTTATCTCAATTTTTTAGGATCTATATCCTGCCTTCATGTCTTAAATTGTCTTTCTGTTTAATTATTGCGTAAAAATAAAATTCCGATTCATTAAGTGTGAAGTTTCTTTCGTTAACAAGAGTTTCTCAGCGCTTAAATTTAGTAACATCAGTAATAACTTTTAATGGAATTAAAATTTCTAGTTATTCGTATCAAAAACATTCTAAAAATAAAAATCTCGGTTCTTCACATTCTAATGAAAGCAAGGTATTTTCCAGATTTATAAACGATGAGAATTAAATATAAAAATTTCAATTTTTATATAAGCCTTTCAAATGGATATTTAAGAAGGCACCCTTAAAGTTGGCGAGGACGAAAGTATCCCTACTGCAGTGACGTCACGAACTGCGCGCCGTGGCCTTGATTAGTTTGGGGTGACTTCCTTCGGGAATCTCCTCCACGTGTATCAATCACGCGTTGGGTGGAAGGTCAACCTGCCACCCGTGAGATATTAAAATCATCACGCTAATGTCAGTGTGCAAAAAGAATTAGTCTGAGAATATCCTAATAATAGAATATTTTTGCGCCAAAGAAATATTAAACATTAGTTGGTACATCATTTCTTCTCCAAAAATACTGAAATATATTTCACCAGAAAAGTCATCAAGATTGATGTTAATTATTAATAAGAATTATAAAGTAAATTGTATCACAACAAAAATGATCTGATGTATAATTAATATCAATAATAAAAAATGGTTTTTGTCTTAATATTAAAATCTTTTACCTGATAAATCTCCAAAACCTTGGCTTATTGGGGAACAAAATTAAGACTACTGATTTTAAAAATTGATTTATACTACGCTTCTACTGAGCATAAAACCAAGAAAATCGTTTTATAATAATTAGAAATTTGAAAAAATTCGATTCTTTGAATCTCGAAATTTTTCGTGAATTAGTAAAAAAGTCCCACCGATAATATAAATTTATGGTACCACCTATAATGGTGCCCGCCGATAACATCGCGGACGAAAACGTAGCGGAGAAAACAACGCAAGGCGAAAACGTAGTGCTACAAAACATCGTGGGAGAGAACATCGCAGTTCTAAAACATTGTGATACAAAACATCGACGTCGAAAATAAAGCGGTTCAAAAACTTCGCTAATTATAAACATCGCCATCGAAAATATCGTGGTAAAAAATAAAGTATCTACAAATCATCGCATGACGATAATATCGCAGATATCTTTTTTTCAGGTTTAAATAATTGTAAATGGATATTCCCATAATAATTTGTGAGCGCAAGATGTAAAGAACGTTCATTTTTACTTTCGCATTCTTTTTATTAACTCATAGATTTTTGCTGAAAAAGTGAGACGGAAACTTAAGCATAGAAAATTAAATGCAACTTATAGATTATACTTTTGATGAAAAATTACCAGTAAAAAATTTATAAAAAGGATTTATTAACGGCCTTTGTTAGTTAACTATGTCGGTTTAAAATTCTATTAAGTGCTGTAAGTTGCATTAATTTTCTATGCTTACGTTTACTTCTTATTTTCTCAGCAAAAATTTATTAGTTAATAAAAAATATGAAAGTAAAACTTATCCTTCTTTCCATCTTGCGCTCACAAATCATTATGGGAATATCCATTTACACTTATTAAAGCTTGCCTGAAAAAAGCATGTCTGCGATGTTATCGTCATGCGATGATTTGTAGATACTTTTTACCACGATATTTTCGACGCGATGTTTTTAAACTGCAAAGTTTTTGAACGGCTTTATTTTCGACGACGATGTTTTGTACCACGATGTTTTAGAACTGTGATGTTTTCTCCGCGACGTTTTCGTCCACGATGTTTTCGGTAGTAACCCATATAATTTAAATTAAATGGTTATTTACCGATTAAAAAAGTCAAAAACTGCATGTGTAAACAAACTGAACATACCTCTTTCAGGTCTCACCAGTTTTAACAGATCGTGAACGGGATCCTGATTTCTCACTGGAGAGAAGATATAGTCTGCATGGGATCCCCGTCTTAAAATGCGTATAATAGTTGTAGTATCACGACTCCTCAAAGCTTGTATCACCGCCACAGCGAGATTTTTCCTATCCTGAAAATGAATGCAGTTTGAAAAAATTCTTCCATTTATACTAATTGAAAAAAAAACCTTCTTTTTTCGGGAAAAGAGAAAACTTTAACAGATTTCTTTCAATTTCAGACCTATGACTGCGAAAAGAAAAGTATTAGAGGCCTATATTCACTTCACTAGGGGAAGAACAAAGTGTATCTTACCTCGTGTTATTCTAACATACCCATTTTATTTTAGAACGTTTCGGATATATGTTGAAAATAATTCTGCTGATTTATGAATTTATCTCCAATAATAATTTATTTCATCCTCTCATCTTATTTTATTATTAATACACTGATTTGAAGTCATGATAGTTCTAAATGATTTGGAATGTTTTATTGCAAATTTGCATATATTATTTCAAGAATTCGGTTAATTATTATAATTTTACTTACATCCTATATGGTGTAAAAGTCCCTTCGTTTCATTTTTTCTATAAAGAGCAAATTTACTTGTGATATAGTGACAATAGGCGTAAATAAAACTCTTAAATTCGGACTACCATTCAAATGGTTTTAGGACTTCCAAGAAGAATCAGGAGTTTTGCCTCGGAAGATATATACTTCCAAAGACATAAATGTTTTAAATGATGCTAATATTCTTGCTTTGGCATTTTTTAATTTAAAGATACCAGTTTTGTTAAAGTTACCAAATCTAACTTTCTATACTTTCCTCTGGTACTATACGTATCTTTAAAAACTGTTACGCTTATTATAGGAACTAGAACATAAAAATATTAACTTTGCTATGCCAAAAAATAACCGAGATATTTACTTTCAAATGCTGACATATCTGTGGTCATTTGCGGTTTTCAATGAGGGATAGTTAATGAATAATTAGAATCTTTGACGTTGATTTTTTTCCCTTTTCAATGCCATTCGATGATATTCTTTTGTGATTTACCCTTGATAGAGTATTTTATTTTATATTCCAAACTCCAAAATGTTTTATCGAAAAATACGAATCGAATAATTTTTGTGCATTCACCGTATTTTTCGATAAAATTTTTGGCGTTTGGAATATAAAATAAAATACTCTATCAAGGGTATAGAAAGATGTATACAATTTTAAAGCTACCGTGAGGTAGTTTTCATTCTTTAAGCATACCTTATTCGCTAAAATCTATATTTTTGTTGCTCAACAGCTTAGAATTTTATAAAACAAATTCATAATCAAAATCGCTCATTTAGTTATCGAAAAATAACCAAGATGTGATTTTCGCGTAAATGCCACTAACCGATACAAATTGCTGTTATCCATAACACTAGGAATGTTTCTTTTATGCGGAAGTGTCCCGTTTTCCGATTTGTATGGAACTGTTGTATGTAGAAATACTATCAGAGCGCTGTCTTTCATATTGTTGTTAGACTTGGTATGCCAAAAGAATTTTCGCCGCCCAAGCGGTATAGTGGTTAGCCTCGCTGACTGCCGTGCCGAAGAGCCTTGCTTCGAATCCTGGAGAAGGAATAGATGTTTGTAAATGCATAGTTGCGGCATGGGGTCACTCTGAATACGCGGCGAGTCAATAGTTGTCTGGAGAGGTTATGGTAGAGGAAGAGGTGCGGGAAACCCTCTGTCCTGTCCCCCCAGGGGTGCTGTCCATCAAAACGTGGAGTTAGGAAGTAAGATGGAGTAGCTCTAACCGGTTCCACCCAAACCCTGCTCTGAAGCATTAACGATCCCTACGTGGTGACCAAACCATTGGGTAATTTACCATTAAGTTCAATGGGTTTTGACACAGTAGGATGCAAATATTTTGCAATTGCGTTGTAAATATGCATATAAATGTATATATTTTCTTTTTCAACAGTACTTCAGAGTCCTAAGTACAGTAAGACCCCGCTTAACGCTGTTTCGCTTAGCGCTATTTCGGTTTAGCGCTCTTTTATTTTAACCCGGGGATTCCACGAAATCGCTCGCAGCATACGGGGATTCCCCGAAATATTATGCAGCAATAGATTTCAAATACATATCCGAAAGAGTGTACTTGTATTTCTTGTTTGGTATTGTACAGACATATTTTGAAGGGGTAAATGTGGAAGATGCCGAAGAAATAAAATCAAGAAGCAGCGACTAGTCTTTCTAATGATGAGCTCAAGGAATTAACTGAACAAGAAGAAAACAAAAATGTTGACAGCAGTGATTCAGAAGAAGAGCAAAAAGAACTTTCGATGGCGTTTGTAAAAAGGAGTTTGTCTACCATAACTGAAATAATGGATCAATTCATTGAAAATGATCCGAATTTTGACAGGAGCTCAAAAGTAAGGCGTGGTGTTAGAGATGCTCTATCCGTTTATGAAGAACTTTTAAGAGAACAACGCAAAAGAAAAAGGCAAACAACATTAGATGCTTTCGTCACAAAAAGGCAGAACACTGAAAACGCGGAAGGCTAACTAAATATGACTGACTTAGAATTTTATTTGTTTTTTTTTTTTAAGAATATTCGTTTTGTTATTTATATTTTGTTTTTATTTTTGCAAGAAATAATAATGTGGTATTAATTTGGGCTTTAAGAAATAAATGTTTGGTTTTATTTTTATTAAAAAACATACTTTTTAAATTTAATACCTAACCAATTTCCTAGCCATCTTTCCCTAACCCCAATATTTACATGTAAAGATAGCCTCGTTTAGCGCTGTTTCGCATTACGCTCTACTTTGATGGAACGTATCCCCCCGCGTTAAGCGGGGTCTTACTGTATATGAAAAAAATACATTTTTAAGCATTATTTCTTTCTGAACGGAATAAAATGCTGTACTTTTCACAGAACAGCTTGCTCAGAATGGTTTAATTTGAATGAAATATTTTCACAAGTTTTCGTTAATTATATTAGAAACAAAATTTAAACTAATTCGATTTTATTCGGCTAAGGATTACAAAAATTAAGATCAAAGTTTATTGTATTATTAATATTAAAATTATGCATTATTTCTTTCTGTTTATAGAGCTTCTTCCTAAAATACTTTCTCAAATATGACATGACTTTTTGGCTTCTGAAGCATCTTTTAAATCGAAAAATATAACTCAATTTAAAATTAATGCTCTATTTGGTTCATTTCAAATTAGAGCACCTTTTATTTTAATAGCGAAATACTTCAAATAGTACTTAGCATTCTCTGAATACTTCTGAAATGGAATAAAATAAGAATTTTTTTCAAATATTATTTAAAACTTAACTGAGTTATTATATAATGTAAGGGGAATAATTCTTTTAATTATACTTATCAGATTTTTTTACACTGAATTTCAACAATACATATTCCAAAACTCTTTTTTATTACATAACTACGCATCTCATAGAATTTGCTTTACTATACCTTTTAACAGATTGCTTTCCAGTACGAACAATTCTTGCTTAAATAGTTTTTAACGTGTTTGACAACAGGATTTCAATTTATTTTTACAATGCAATGCTAAGTTTTTATATATTTAGATAATATTTCTAATCATTATAAATTTAGATACATTATTTAATAATTAGATTACTTCACAGTAACTTTGACAGTTGTTTATGAATGAATAAATCCTTCATTTCAAATACATTTATAAATAATTTAATAAATATTTACGTATTTTGTTAAAGGCAGATACATGCTTTTTTGCAAGCACATGCATAAATACCCATACATATTTCAATTTTTCATTTCCGGCATGTGTAAATCTTTAATTTTTGTGCATTCACCGTATTTTTTCGATAAAACATTTTGGCGTTTGAAATAAAATAAATACTCTATCAAGGGTATAGAAAGATGTATACAATTTTAAAGCTACCGTGAGGTAGTTTTTCATTCTTTAAGCATAACTTATTCGCTAAAATCTATATTTTTGTTGCTCAACAGCTTAGAATTTTATAAAACAAATTCATAATCAAAATCGCTCTTTTAGTTATCGAAAAATAACCAAGATGTGATTTTCGCGTAAATGCCACTAACCGATACAAATTGCTATTATCCATAACACTAGGAGTGTTTCTTTTATACGGAAGTGTCCCGTTTTCCAATTTGTATGGAACTGTTGTATGTAGAAATACTATCAGAGCGCTGTCAAGCGAGCTTCTGAATGTAAAACAAAAAACACCCCATCTGGTGACAGAAGCTTCGGAGCAGTGCTTCACTTCTAATGCCGGTTTGGCCACTCTTTCCTTTCTTATTTGCATGCATCAAAACTGGGGGCATAACTGAGCTAATTCGCATTGTCACCCGTAAGGTGGTCAAGGCTATTCCTTGACCTTCGAGAGGGAGACGAAGGTCACGGCTATTCCCAACGATAGGCTTATCTTACGCCTCTTGCCACGAGGAATTTCGTGAGCTTGGGGTGAATATTGCTCAGACAAGTGAGCATTGGTCAACAACTAAAACGAATTTTCAGACAATTAATTTATAAGTTTTTAAATATAAAAATACGTCATTAATATTCCCAGGAAGTTTTATAACTTCAGATTTATTATTTTAAATCATACAAAACATTCATTAAACATCCAATATTTTCAAATCTAATTATGCAAATAAAATTACAAATTTGTACGTGTGCCTATTGTAGCTGCCCTTGTTGTGTAAAACATCATTTTTCTACAAAGTTGTGTGAATAAGATTTGATTTCTACTTTGAAAAAATTACATTGTTAAATATTTTTCAATAATACAAATGTTCATCACTTAATCTCTTATCTACAGAAACCATTTTCTAAACTGATATTTAATTTATATTACGTACCGCATTTAGGTCCTCAATTGGTATGCGGCCTTTGAATATGATATGCATTTATAATATCCAAAATCTCGGGAAATTTTTGTTGTACAGCATTCAACATTTTTATATTTTATACCGAGTACAAAGGTTCCCTAATTATGAGTACGGTGACCGAAGGAACATAAAACACTTAGATATTTCTGTTATTTACGAAATTGATTCCTTTACTTGAAAAAGCCAAATTATAAATAGTTGCATCATTTAAAAGATTTCTTAACGGAAAATTTATGTATACCACTAACGATTGCAAACGTAAAGGCCGAGAAGGACTTCTGGGAACACTGTACCACGGAAAATTAATGAAGATTTTCCTTTTTTGGCAGCCTCTACAACGGAAAAGAATAACCTATCGGTACCAGTGTGAAAAAGAACACCACTCGAAATTTTGATTTGCGCTTTGTTTGGAAAACTGAAGGCTATTTCATATTTTCTTACAG